GTCTTGGGATCTAGGTTGTCACCACCTTCCTCTGTGGCCTTGGGAAGTCACTTCTCCCATGGGGTTTCAATTTACCTCAGGGCACTTCTAATTCTGACACCCTGTGTCTCTCTGACTTAAAGTGTTACCTCTGCAGTAGTATCTGTGTTTAATAAACTCCTGGAGCTAGTCAGGCCATCACATCAAAAGCAGACATCTCCAATAGCTTCACTTCATGTACCATGAAAGAGACCCAGGGATTTTTTTTCCTTTTCTATTTTTTATATAGGAAACTCTTTCTTGCACTTGCAAACTACAATAGAGGAATAGCTGCCTGCACCAACTCTGTGTAAAGATGGTCATGGGGAGAGAACCCTAAAGAGGGATAGTCCAGTATTTTAGGGTATGCAAATCAGCAGAACAGCTGTCAGTCTGTAGGACGTACAACCTGCATAACCCTTAAGGGTCAGTTAAAAGTGAGAGTCAGAGCCCTTAACCTTTATAAAGAGAATAAAAAACAAAAACAGAGAACTCATTGCGTTGACTGTAAAGGCAACTCATGTCAGCAGCAATCTTCTAGGGATAATTTCTGCAGTTGTTTTGTTTTTTTGCGGTACGCAGGCCTCTCACTGTTGTGGCCTCTCCAGTTGCGGAACACAGGCTCCGGACGCGCAGGCTCAGTGGCCATGGCTCACGGGTCTAGCCGCTCCGCGGCATGTGGGATCCTCCCGGACCAGGGCACGAACCCACGTCCTCTGCATCGGCAGGCGGACTCCCAACCACTGTGCCACCAGGGAAGCCCTCTGCAGTTGTTTTGAAAGGTATCTTTATTTAAATGAGTTTTCCTGAACTCTGAAACACTTCCTGAGGGGAAAAAAAATCCCCATCCCTGTTTGCATTCTTTTGGAACAAAAACACTCAATGGATCCAATTCTGGTTGAAGATCAAACAGAACAAAATCAGGAAGATTTTTTTTTTTTTTTTTTTTTTTTTTTTTTTTCCGGGCTCTCAGTGTTGTGGCCTCTCCCGTTGCGGAGCACAGGCTCCGGACACGCAGGCTCAGCGGCCATGGCTCACGGGCCCAGCCACTCCGCGGCATGTGGGATCTTCCCGGACCGGGGCACGAACCCGTGTCCCCTGCATTGGCAGGCGGACTCTCAACCACTGCGCCACCAGGGAAGCCCAGGAAGATTTTTTAAATAGAGGGCGTATATTTTCAGTCAAATGTAAAACTTCCTTTTCTAGAGACACATTTCATTTCACTGCTTCATTGATTTCCTCTTTTCTGCTACCCTTCTATTATTCTCTGTGAGAATGTGACATAGTTAAGGGCCAATTGGGACAATTATGATTGATGGGTAGCACCTGCTGGGGATATATGTACCTGATAAGGATGGGAATCAAAAGCAGCCTGGATTCCTAGTTTCCTGAGAAAAGACGCACTATCATTTTCTCTACAGGTAAAGGAAAAAGAGCAAGCCTTGAGAAGGACCTCTATCATCACCAAAGTAAAGCTTGACATGACAATTTTCTTGAGGAAAAATGTGTGTACAGCAAGTCCGTTGGTCACAGATCACTGAACACTTGCAGAATTCTTTTTTTTTGTTTCTTTTATTGCGGTACGCGGGCCTCTCACTGTTGTGGCCTCTCCCGTTGTGCAGCACAGGCTCCGGACGCGCAGGCTCAGCAGCCATGGCTCACGGGCCCAGCCGCTCCGCGGCATGTGGGATCCTCCTGGACCGGGGCACGAACCCGTGTCCCCTGCATCGGCAGGCAGACTCTCAACCACTGCACCACCAGGGAAGCCCGCAGAATTCTTATAATACCCCACCTTGTCACACTCTCTATACCTACATATATAGTCTGCTTTATTTTAACTCATAGCACTTATCACTTCCTCACATAATATTAAAATAAACAACTTTCTGCCTCCCTTACTCGAATATAAATCCTAAGAAGGCAAAAACTTGATTTGTTTTGTTCACTGCTGTATCCCCAGTGCCTGGTACACTGCCTGGCCCACCATCAGAGGTCAATAAAGATTAGTTGAATGAATGAATGAATAGTAAAATTTAGGCTCATAGCCACTTGGGCTGCATTTACAGCTCAATGCTGTACTATGATCATACAAATTATTTGTAAACTCATAGCTTCAGTTTTGGAGCACTAATAAAAAGTTTGGTTACTTGGATCGGAAAATGTCCATACCCTTTGACCAAAGAGTTCTATTGCTAAGATTTAGCCTAAATACAAAGATTTATGTACAAAGTTGAAAGATGTTCATGGCAGTCTTATTTATAACAGAGAAAAACTAGAAATTATTTACTTATTTACTAATAATTATAATACTTATTAATAATTTGACATTTATAATTTAATGTCAACAGGATAATGGCTAAGAAAATTGTGGTATATTGTCAAGACAGAATATTACGTAGGCATTAAAAATCTTTTATAGGGCTTCCCTGGTGGCGCAGTGGTTGAGAGTCCGCCTGTCGGTGCAGGGGACAGGGGTTCGTGCCCCGGTCCGGGAATATCCCATATGCCGCGGAGCGGCTGGGCCCGTGAGCCATGGCCGCTGAGCCTGCGCGTCCAGAGCCTGTGCTCCGCAACGGGAGAGGCCACAACAGTGAGAGGCCCACGTACCACACACAAAAAAAATGTTTTATAAAGAGTTTCAAACTATATATATAAAGGCTTATGATAAGCTGTTAGGTGAAAAGAGTAAAATGACAGTTGAATATACAGTATGATATCAACAAAGGGACATGCCAAAGTTTAAATAATGCCAAAGGGTATTATGGAAAAAATTTTTCTTGCATATCTAGGCATTTTTTTCTCCTCTCTGAAATTTTCTTCTCCTTCTGAACTTTCTAGTTCATCTATGGATGATCAGGTCATAATTTGATAAAAGAAAGGGACAGAGCAAAAAAATAAAAATTATCTTGTGGTTTATTGATAAGCTTTTTTCTGGTGTATGTAAGTATTGGGTTGGCCAAAAAGTGCCTTCAGTTTTTAAGTAAAAATAGACACATTTTTCGTTTTCACCAAGAACTTTATTGAACAATGTAATCACCCTTTCGTTCCACCACCTTCTGCATTTTTCAGGCAACTTCATAATTCCATCTTCCCCCCAATTTTTATCTTTTTGAGCAAAAAACTGTTCCAGGTGCCTTTTACAGTCTTCCAGGAAATTGAAAATTTTTCCATTAGGAGAATTTTGTAAAGACCGAACTAAATGGAAATCTGAAGGTGCAATGTCTGGTGAATATGGCGGATGAATCAGAACTTCCCAGCCAAGCTGTAGCGGTTTTTGCCTGGTCATCAAAGAAACATGCGGTCTTGTGTTATCCTGATGGTAGATTATGCATTTTCTGTTGACTATTCCAGATGCTTTTCGTTGAGTGCTGCTTTCAGTTGGTCTAATTGGGAGCAGTACTTGTTGGAATGAATGGTTTGGTTTTCCAGAAGGAGCTCATAATAGAGGACTCCCTTCCAGTCCCACCATATACACAACATCACCTTCCTTGGATGAAGACCCTCCTTTGTGTGGTTGATGGTGGTTCATCTTGCTTGCCCCACAATCTCTCCCATTCCTCATTATTGTGCAGTATCCACTTTTCATCATCCATCACAATTTGTTTTAAAAATGGAACGTTTTCATTAAGTTTAAATAGATAATCACATGTGGAAATATGGTCAAGGTTATTTTTGCTTAACTTACGTGGAACCCAAACATCAAAGTGATGAACATAACGAAGCTGATGCAAATGATTTTCAACACTTGATTTGGATATTTTGAGTATGTCGGCTGTCTCCCGCGTGGTATAACGTTGATTGTTCTCAATTAATGTCTCGATTTGATCGCTATCAACCTCAACTGGTCTACCCCCAAACCATGGAGCACCGTCCAGTGAGAAATCTCCAGCATGAAACTTCGTAAACCACTTTTGACACGTTCTGTCAGTCACAGCACCTTCTCCATACACTGCACAGATCTTTTTTTGCGTTTCAGTTGCGTTTTTACCTTTCTTGAAATAATAAAGCATAATATGCTGAAAATGTTACTTTTTTTCTTCCATCTTCAAAATTAAAATGGCTACATAAAAATTCACAAATTTTGATAAGTTTTTTTTAAAATGCATGCTGATATGACAGCTGTCACAATACAATCTAACAAAATTGTTTCAAATGAAGTTAAAGACAACTGAGTGCTACTAGAGCCACCTTACAGAAAAAACAAAACGAACTTTTTGATCAACCCAATAAAATTATTAATCACATGCAATGAAAATGTACAATTAGGGATTTCCTTGGTGGCGCAGTGGTTAAAAATCCGCCTGCCAATGCAGGGGACCCGGGTTCCAGCCCGGGTCTGGGAAGATGCCACATGCCACGGAGCAGTTAAGCCCGTGTGTCACAACTACTGAGCCCCCAAGCCACAACTACTGAAGTCTGCATGCCTAGAGCCTGTGCTCCACAACAAGAGAAGCCACCACAATGAGAAGCCTGTGCGCAGCAATGAAGAGTAGCCCCCGCTCACCGCAACTAGAGAAAGCCCACGCGCAGCAACGAAGACCCAACATAATCAAAAATAAATAAATAAATTTCAAAATGTTAAAAAAAATGTAGTTAGATGATGCTATGAAGTAAAAATAATTTTATAAAAATTTTTCTTGTCAATGATATCTTGCAAGAAAAATTGTTTTGCAAATAAAACTGTTTAGTTTTAATTCACGTTGAAAGTTTCACGCCAAAAATACATAGGTAAAGGTGACAATTTCTAATGAGTTAGAGAAAACAGAAAATGGCTTTGAAAGATGCCACAGTTTTTCTTCTGTTTTCAGATTTATTTTCCTCTTCTTCCTTTAAGTTGGTAAATTAAATGAGGTCTTATCATGGAAAGTGAGTCTAAAAGAGAAAATTAGCCTTGGACTTCCTTTTGAATCTCATCTGGTACCTCCAGTTTTTGAGTGCTAATGCTTGTCAAAGTACATACCTCACTCTCTTTAACCCTTTAGGCCAAGACAAGAAAGGAGACCAGCTTGTGATGGAAGCACAGAGCCACCCAGGAAGGCACTGTATACTCTTCAAGAAGTAGTCTTCTTCCCCCACTAGACGTGACAAGTCAAAGTCGAAACTGCTGCTAGAGATCACTTAGTGGTTTTCAAAGTATGTATTTTTAAGCCTGGAACACTTTGTTCAAAAACAACATAATTTGATGTTAAAGAGGTAAAACAGTTAACACAGCTGCTGTGGGTGAGAGGCCTAAAGCCCCACCTACTGGGAGCTTCTGCTTTTCTCCTTTACCTGGGGGCATCAGGGTGAGTGTCATAGGGGATGTGGAAGCTCCTTAAAAACAATGACCTGGTCTAATCTCCTCTTTATACGGATAGGGGGGAAGGAGACTGGATGGGGCACTGATACGTTCACTGTCACACTTGTTACCTGATTAAAATAGTTCAGCTGACTTACCTGAAAATAGTCAGGTAAGTCACAGTTTTCTAACAAGAAGATTAAGAATATATTGATATGTTGGGAAAATACTAAAGAAAGTAACAATATAACAAAATGACTAAGAGAAGCAAGACCCCACGTTTGACATTAAAATGTTATCACCCAAACCTAACCTTTCTACACCGAAGGAAATTTTACAACAGAGGTATGACTTGAGAAATAGGATTTTCTTTTATTTTTTTCTTTAATTTAGAAAAAGTCTCTAGAATACAGAAGAGTATAGAGAATAATTTAAAAATCTACCATGGACACATGTTAATCTTTTGTCTTCTTTGAGATATATATGTATCTGTGGCTCACAAACTCAAGAGAGTGAACTACAAAAGTCCAGTAGCTTTAAATCAGGAGGCTCTCCATGAGGATGAATTATGTTGTACTGTGAGGTCCTACTGTGAGGTTAGATAACACAGAATATATATAATAGATATATATGATATATATATATGTATATACCTATGATGCAAAGAAGACAAAAATACATATATTTAAATTTTTAATAGTTTAAAACTATAGTACATTTTATATATTTATAGTTATTATTTATAACATACATTTTAAATATATTTATTCCTATATTTATATGTGTGTTTAAATGAAAGAAACAAAACATTAGGTACAATTGAAGTCCTCTCTATATTTCTTTTTAGCTCATTCCTCTCCCTCCACCATTCCCAGAAGCAAACACACTCATGAATTTAACCTGGACCCTCACGTCCCATAGACATAGTTGTTAAAATAATAAAAAGATTTATTTGTTAAGAGAGGCAGTTTTAGCAACTTGAAACCTTTGAACTAGATTCCTAAAAATAAAGGCCTAGGATTTCTTTTTGGATTTCTTGAAATAACTACTACAAACTCTACTATGGTTTATTATTTTATTCCTGGATCCTTATGCAGAACTTGATTGACTCAAACTTATTCAACAAGATGTACTTGGTTAAATGATCTAGAAGACACAGAAAGGGCTGTTAAATTCAGAACCAATAAAAGTAGACATGAGAGCAAAGGTGACAACTACTGTCCTGATACTGAAGGAAACAAACAAAAAAAGACACCGGAAACTGGATATATGCATATATAATACTGAAGAGAGAAAATGTTAAAATTATATTAGGGAGGCAGAGATACATCTTTTAGAAAGATTTCCATCAAAAATTATTGAGGTTTTTAAAAAGTGTCTAATGCTTTGGGGCTCTGACAGTCATGCAGTTCATTCTGGCTGTGTCACTTACTAGTTGGATGACCTTCACCTCCCTGTATGCAGGTCCTCCCAGTATAATGGGAATAATAATAGTACCTACTACATAGAGATGTTGTAAAAATGAAGTGAGATGTTCCCTGTAAAGTGTTAGGAACATGCATGTTAGTTGCTGGTAGTAATAGTAGTAGTAGTAGTAATATCTGGAAAACCAGCCCATGAGGAAGAGTTCATAACCTGGTATGTGGAGGGGGTACAAATTCTGGAGCCTCTGTACCTCTTTACCAGCTGTGTGGGCCTGGGGACAATGACAGTACAAAGGTTCTAGGGCTGCTGTGAGCATTCAGTGGGTATGGAAGATGCTTAGTGCCATGTTCTAAGAACATGCTCAATCAACATTAGCTGTTAGAAATATTCCAGATAGATAATGCCTTAGTATTCTTAAAGCGCATCCTAATTTTATTTATTTATTTATTTATTTATTATTTTTTACATCTTTATTGGAGTGTAATTGCTTTACAATGGTGTGTTAGTTTCTGCTTTATAACAAAGTGAATCAGTTATACATACACATATGTTCCCGTATCTCTTCCCTCTTGCGTCTCCCTCCCTCCCACCCTCCCTATCCCACCCCTCTAGGTGGTCACAAAGCACCGAGCTGATCTCCCTGTGCTATGCGGCTGCTTCCCACTAGCTATCTAGTTTACGTTTGGTAGTGTATATATGTCCATGCCACTCTCTCGCTTTGTCACAGCTTACCCTTCCCCCTCCCCATATCCTCAAGTCCATTCTCTAGTAGGTCTGTGTCTTTATTCCCGTCTTACCCCTAGGTTCTTCATGAAATTTTTTTTTTCTTAGATTCCATATTTATGTGTTAGCATACGGTATTTGTCTTTCTCTTTCTGACTTACTTCACTCTGTATGAAAGACTCTAGGTCCATCCACCTTACTACAAATAACTCAATTTCGTTTCTTTTTATGGCTGAGTAATTATCCATTGTATATATGTGCCACATCTTCTTTATCCATTCATCCGATGATGGACACTTAAGTTGCTTCCATCTCCTGGCTATTGTAAATAGAGCTGCAATGAACATTTTGGTACATTTCTCCAAAGAAGATATACAGATTGCCAACAAACACATGAAAGAATGCTCAACTTCATTGATCATTAGAGAAATGCAAATCAAAACTACAATGAGATATCATCTCACACCGGTCAGAATGGCCATCATCAAAAAATCTAGAAACAATAAATGCTGGAGAGGGTGTGGAGAAAAGGGAACGCTCCTGCACTGCTGGTGGGAATGTGAATTGGTACAGCCACTATGGAGAACAGTATGGAGGTTCCTTAAAAAACTACAAATAGAACTACCATATGACCCAGCAATCCCACTACTGGGCATACGCCCTGAGAAAACCATAACGCATCCTAATTTTAAGGTGCAGGAGCAAGCTCACAATTACCTCACAGCAAGAAGTCAAGGAAAGCTAGGGGATCGAATTGCACTGATTTGTTTATCCAGGAGCACCCTTCTGTCAGGTTCAGACGACTATATGCAGTCATTGCTATAAATACAGCCCTGTCTGCTCTCAGCTCTGCAGGAGTATAAGGAGATCCAAAAGGTGGTCTCTTTTTCCTTGAAAAGGGGTGACTAAACTCCCTATGAACTTCTTACTGATAAGATCACCAAGAGAGGGAGGCCTAGAAGATGCTCTTAAAAATAGACTAGTGCATTATGAAACAAGCACTTTATTGTTCCAGAGCACTTTCACACACATTAAAGCCTCTAACCCTCACAGCCACCCTAGAGAAAGGAGGTATCATCCCCATTTCTCAGAGGAGGCAAGTGGGGTACAGAGAATTTAAGTGACTTGCTCGAAGTTCCCTTATTAGTAAGAGGAAAATCCAGCTCTTGCTCTGTTACTTACTAGTTGGGTGTTCAGAACTTTTATTACACATGCATGGCCTTACGGAATGCTCCTCACTGGCATGTACTTGCCATTGTGGGAACTATTTTATTTTTCCAACTTTTTGGTTACCTTATTTCTTTTAGTCAGCTTAACTCTAAATCCCACACCCTTACCTATTACATCATAGATGTAGTATGCATGTGTGCACGTGTATAAACACACGCACACGTGTAAGTACATGCTGGAGGACAACTGAGTTTTGTTTTATTCTTTCTAAGTGTACTTTTAAAAGATGAAAATCTTAGAGGTTGAAGACTGATGTGATTCAGAAAAATTTGAGTACGCTAAATCACTTTTTTGGACTGCAGTCTGAGAAATAATTCAGTCCCAACAGAGGGGGAAAAAAGGGTTTTCCACTTCAAATGAACCATGTTTTCTTTTCTGAAAACATGATTTAATTTCTTTTATAAAAGAAGAGCGAAAGAACTTTTGTTGTCGTCTCCAGCTGTCAAACCTGCCTCCCGTACTTTTGCCCTGAAGCAAAAGGAAGGGACATCAGGTGACAAACCCCAAATTTCAACTAGTCACACAAATTATAGACCTTCCTATCATGATATCCTCTTGACTTTCTGCCTTTCCCCTACAATGAAGAACAGACACAGTTTAAGTCAAAATGACTCTCATGGGCAATTTTACAAAACAAATAGAAGGCACAGAGTCTCTCCCTCCCCCTCCCCCGCCCCCCACTTCCCCAGCTTCCCCCTCTGGGCCAGCCTATCCCCTCTTTCCAGGCAGGCAGGAGCTAATAATCAGAAAGACATTTCCCACCCCAGACAGTGATGCTCTGCTTGCCAAGGGCCCTGTTTGCTTTGAAGAAAGAGTTTGACAAAGTGAATATTTACAGAAACAACTATAATCGGATGCCAAGTCCCACTTCGAGGGGACAGGCAGAGAAGTATTTTCAAGAAAGGGTTTCTCCATGTGGTATCACACTGCCCGGTGGTGGGGACTGATCCAAGCTCTGTTCTGGGTTTATCATGAGTCCAGGCATATCACAGTCTTTCTCTTAGCCTTTTAACTTCCATGCTAGGGACTTTCCACAGAGTAATGAATAATTTCATTTACCGCTGAAGAGTCAATTCAGAAATGTACTAATTCGGGACCACGGGGAAGTCTTCAAATATTACTGCTTTTAGCAGTAGGGGAAAGCTTCATGAAGTCAACAGGGAAGAGATTAAAGGCAGGGTTAATTAGCACTCAGGAAATGTCATTATTTAAAATATATATATTTTTGAGATAGACCACTTACTGGCTAAAACACAGTCATATTTATATTACCTGTAGATCTGTTACCTAGAAACTGTGGAACCTGAGAGCTCGAACACAGTGAGAATCAAAACAGGTGCGCCTGCCTGTTCCCATTATGCACATTAGCCCATGGCCTTCGCACAGCCTGTTAAACAGCTGAATCTGAAACAATCATGGTGCAGGCCAAACACTAGCCTGAAGGCCTGTCCGTCTTGGGATTTGGCCATTTACATTGATTTTTTTTTTAACCCATGTGTTTCATGAAACACAAATATTTGCCATGACAACTGGGGTGTCACATGACATACTGCTACATAAAAAGCTTGGAAATCTCTTAAGGGGAAACAGCCCACCAGTGCTGCAAATACAGTGAAAACATCTTGAGGAAGATGTGGGCATTAAAAGATGAAGGTCTGGAAAGAACAGGTAACAGTTTACTATGCAGACATAGTAGGATTAATTTCTTCTGTGCCACTCTTCAATTTCTCTTTCTTTCTTCCTTTCTTTTTTTTTTTTTAAAAAATGGGAGCAGCTGTAAACATGACCACATAGGGTAAGCCCAGAAAAAAAAAACTCTGCCAGCTGTCTCCTTCTGTGGTGAAAGTTTCAATTATTACTAGTCTGTCTTGTGGCTCATAAACATAAGAAAGCAAGCTACAAAAGTCCAGCACCTTTAAACCAGGAGAATCTCCATAAGCATGAGCATGTTGTACTGTGAGGTCCTAATGTTAAAGAATACAGATTTCCTTTCCCTTCCGCATTAAGGTATCTGTACAAAATCGGGGAACTTGCTTTATTATCCTATGCTTAAAGATAAATGAAACCTCACAATAACATACCCTATGCAACACAAATTGGAATATAAAGCAATAGTTTTGTATTCCGGACTCCTGGGCCCTTGACCAGCTAGCAGTAGAGATTGACTCAGTCATTTAGTTCATCTCGAAATAATGCAACATGATGGAATTTTTTAGATCCTACTGATATTGTCATGGTAGAGTTTACCTGCATAACAATCTTCCCTTTTAAAATCAAATGCATTCCAGCAGCCGCTGAAATAGTATTTATTTCTATGTGAAAGGTACAACTCGATAACATGTGCGTATTACCAAAAATCTCACTGAGAATATTGTAAATCAGAACAATTTTCTTTCGTTAGTTAGGAATATGAATACCTTTGATCTTTGTTTCCTGAGAGGGGGATTCTTCACTTCCGCTGGAATCGATTGTGTTCTCTGGGGTGCAGCGAAAGGGGCTGTGGATGGAAGTGGTGCAATGTTACCTCTTCCAGAAAGAGAGACTTATTCATTGGGTTGATGCTACTGGGTTTGCACCTTGAAAGTCAGATGGCTCTGTCACCCATTCACTGTTCACTACCAGTCATTCTTGTATCAATTCAGTGAAACATTTGTGATAATTGACTTCAAAAGGAAAGCAAAGAGCTTGGAAGGGCAACAGTTCCATCAGAACATAAGGTCAGCTCCCCTTATGCAAATTTCCTAGAGGAAAAGGCAGATTTTAAAAGCAAGCAATTTAGAGAGTTATCTTTGTCTTATACGATGTTTCGCTATAAGATTTCCTTAAATAGCCGTATTCCCAAGTTCACTTAAAAGGTAAATAAATATAACTATATAAGATGGACTATTCTAATGTATAGTCATTTAAAAAGAAAATTCTAAAGAATTAAAATGGCTTCGGGTAAATAAAACAAGTGAAAAACGCAAGTAAATATTATTTTTGAAATGAATTAAATCTATAAGCAGCAACTTTTGGAGAACACATCTAGTCCATGGGGGGTAAGCCTACATGCTAGACAATGCTTGGAAGAGAAATGGAATCTCTCCTGTAGCCTGGCAGCAAACCCAACTGCCCTTTACAGAAAAGCTCAAATTTGGCATTCTCAGGAGAGAAAAATCCTTACCTTACTCTTTCTAAGAAAGAGAAGAAATAATTTATTTAAATAGTTAATTCAGTCAAAGAAGTGAGGCTTCTTTCAACTCACTTCCTTACTCCACCCCTTTTCTGTCAGTTCTCTAACAACAATGTTAGAAAGAACTGACAGATATTCGTTAAATACAACACATCGGTATACGATTTAGAATTCCACTTTGAGGACTCAGTTCTCTCACATTGCCTCAAGTGGGCTGCAAGGAGTATCTTCAGCCATCTCTTTAAAAGTAGCAGGAAGTCCAGAGTCTTAGCACACAAAAAATCACCTCCACAGAAGACATTTGTTGCATTGGACCAACCCCGTTTTACCATCTTCCTGGTTTCCCTGTCTTCCAGCGATCCTCCAGGACTGCGAGACTGCCCACCAACTTCCCTAAGGCTGGGCAATTGGCTATACAGTCGGTCCTCCGTATCCATGGATTCTGCATCTGCGGATTCAACCAATTTCCATCCGCAGTTGGTTGAATCCACAGATGCAGAACCCGGGAATACAGAGGGCCAACTGTGCAATGCCATACTATAGGAGGGACTCGAGCATCCGCAGATTTGAGTATCCACTGGGGGTCCTGGAACCAATCCCCTGAGGATAGTGAGGGACAACTGTAGTGTGTGAAGACTCTATTTTCATCCTACAAGTTTTTGCCTTGACTTCTGTGCTGTCCTACCCCACTGTCCACTTGAACCTGGCTCTCCCACTTTGAAGGTCAGTTCACACCGTATACCCAGGCTACTGTGAGTCCACAGATTCACCCATGAAGCCTCTTATTCCTATTATCTGCAAGCTCAGTACACTTTTTGTTTAACTTTCAGGTTCCTGCAGACAAATGAGATTTATGGTTAAATTCCCATGATGAAACAAAATAGCAGCTGAGAAGTGGGCATGATTTTTAAAGGAATTTATTAAAATTTCAGTGAAATTTGGTAGAATGAAGATCTAAAAGATTTGTAATTTCACATGGATAATCCAGTTAATGGTATCTCTAAAAAATTATTTTGAGGTTTTTCTTAGTTACCTGCAGAAATTCTATCATTAAATGTATAACTTCATGTAGTCTTGGATTTTATGGGACACATGCATTTGAAGAATGTGTCTGCATCCTAAGGCACTGCCTGTTTTGCTACTCAGTTTCCCTTCTGGAAAAATCTGTTGGATAAATTTTGCCAGTGTCAGTGTCAGGGAAAAAAATCTTGTCTTTCTGGAGAAATTTGTATGTTTCTGTGGTAGTTATTGGCATGCGCCTCCTAAAAAGCCATCCCCCCTTCTTCCTTGCTGATTTTAGAACCTCAATTTTTTCAGGGTAACAACATCCCCAGCTTCTAGGGTTTCCAGATTTAGCAAAAAAAAAAAATTTTAAAGGGCACACAGTGAAATTTAAACTTTAGACAAGCAACAAGTAATGTTGTAGTATAAGTATGCCCCAGATATTAAATATATTTAATATCCATGAATGGATTAGACCAGAATTTCATGAATGCATTAGACCAAGCATAATTTATCATCCTAAGTATTTAGTATGTGTCCCAAATCCTAATCCTAATCCTACTCTTATCCCTGGACATTCACTTTCTCAGCCTTTCTTGTACCTAACAGTGGCCATGTGATCAGTGAGAAGTGAAGTCCATCCCGGGGCTTCTGGGAAGAGATTGGTGCCACTGTTTTTCCCTCTTCCTGCCTGGAGTGTGTATGTTAAGGCCCACATCTGCAGGAGTCATCGTAGAGCTGTGAGTTAGCAAGCGTGAGGATGAAATGAAGCATGCTAAAGAAGGTAAAGCAGAGACTCGTTCTAACCCTGTGTATCAGCAGCATCAGCACTAGAGTCCCTACTTCCTGATTCCTTATGAGATAAATGAACTCCTCATTGTTTAAGCCATGAGGTAGTTAGGGTTTCTGATATTTGCAGTCACATACATTCCTGACTGGTACCCCTCCCTCCCCCTCCTTATTCTCTCTATTCTGTGCTCTGTCTTACTGCATGTGCAAGGGCCTCAGGAACAATGCTCAATAGTGATGGCAGTAATAATGATGGCAGTAGTGGTCATCCCTCAACTGTCTCTGCTTTTAATGAGGAAATAGAATATTTCTAAAGTTTCCCTACTAAGAACATTGTTTTCTGTGGGGTTTTGGTTGAAGACAATAATCAGGTTCGGAAAATTCTCTTCTACTTCTACTCTGCCCAGAAGTTTTTTCTTGTTATTAATGTTGAATTGTATGATTTTAAAATTTTAGTATGTATTGAGATGATCACAGGGTTTTTTCTTTTTTAATCTGTTAATGTGGCGAATTGTATTGTTAGATGTTTCTCATGTTGAATTTTCCTCACATTCTTCCTTGATCATGATGAATGTAAAAAACATACTGCTAACTTTTATTTAGAATGTTTACCTTTATGTTCCTGAGATTGATTTATATATATTTTTTCTTGCAGTGTCCTCATCCAGTTTTGGTACCAAAGTAGCATCATAAAATCAGTTGGTAAGCGTTCCTTCTTCTCTTTTACTATGGAATAGTTTAATATAAGAATTACCTGACCCTTTAAAGTTGGTAAAACTTCCCTATAAAAGACCTGAGGCCCTTTTTGTTTGGTATATTTGTGTGTGTGTGCATGTGTGCACATGTCCATGTGGAAGACAGATATTTTTGACTACCAAATCAAATTATCTAATGGTATTGTTTTCTTTAAGTTTTCTATTTTTTCTTTAGTTAACTTTGGTAATTTAGATTTTTCTAGGAAATTTTTCATTTTGTTTTTAAAAATGTATTGGTATTAAGTTACCATATTATGTTTTTTAAAAATTCTACCTGTCTGTAGTTTCTGCCTTTTTTCATTTTCATATTATTTATTTGTTCCTTCCCTTTTTTAAAATTACAGCTTTATTGAAGTATAATTGACAAATGAAATTGTAAGATATTTAAAGTGAACATTGTGATTATATATTTGATATATATATATATTTGAAAGGATTCCCCCATCTAGTTAATTAACACATCCGTCATCTCATGTTTTTATATTTTTTATTAGTGAGAACATTTTTCTACTCTCTTAGCAAATTTCAATTATACAATGCAGTGTTATCAACTATAGTCATCATGCTATGCATTAGCTCCTCAGACATTATTCATCTTGTAGCTGAAAGTTTGTACCCTTTTACCAACCTCTCCCTATTTCCCCCACCCCTCAAACCCTGGCAACCATTTTTCTACTCAGTGTTTCTATGAGTTTGATTTTTTTTTTTTTTTTTAGATTCCACATATAAGCTATACCATGTGGTATTTGTCTTTCTCTGTCAGGCTTATTTCAGTTAGCATTAATACCCTCCAGATTCATCCATGTTGTCCAAATGGCAGAATTTCCTTCTTTTTTAAGACTGAATAATATCCCACTATAAATATATGACATTAAGTTGTGTCTATACCTTGGCTATTGTGAATAATGCTGCAATGAACATGGGAGTACAGATATCTCTGGAGATAATGACTTCGTTTCCTTTGGATATATACCCAGAAGCGAAATTGCTGAATCATGTGGTGGCTCTATTCTTAAGGTATTGAGAAACCTCCATATTGTTTTCCATAGCAGCTTTACCAGTTTATATTCCTACCAACAGTGTACACTGATTCCCTTTTCTCCATATCCTCATTGGCATTTGTTATCTCTTGTCTTTCTGATAAAAGCCATTCAAACAGGTGTGAGGTGATACTTCATTGTTGTTTTCATTTGCATTTTGCTGATGATTATGACATTGATCACCTTTTCATGTCCCTGTTGGATTTGTTTGTCTTTTTTGAAAAATGTCTATTCAGGTCCTTTGCCCATTAAAAGATTTGGGTTATTTGTTTTTTTGCTATTGAGTTCTATGAGTTTCTTGTATATTTTGTGTATTAGCCCTTTATTGGATATGTGGTTTGCATATATTTTATCCCATTCCACAGGTTGCTTTTTCATTTTGTTGATAATTTCCTTTGCTGTGCAGAGACTTTTTAATTTGATGTAACCTAACTTGTTTATTTTTGCATTGGTTGCCTTTGCTTTTGGTGTCAAATCAAAAAAAAAAAAAAAATCATTTCCAAGAGCTTATCCTCTATGCTATTTCCTTAGGAGTTTTATGGTTTCACGTCTAATGTTCAAGTCTTTAATCCATTTTGAGTCAATTTTTGTGTATGGTATGAGATAAGGGCCCACTTTTATTCTTTTTAATGTGGCTGTCTAGTTTTCCCAACACTATTTATTGAAGAGATTAACCTTTCCCCATTGTATATTTTTGAATTCTTTGCAAAAATTAATTGGCCATAAAAGCATGAGTTTATTTCTGGGCTCTCTGTTTGGTTCCATAGATCTATGTGTCTGTTTTTATGCCAATAACATGCTGTTTTGGTTACTATAGCTTTGTAATATCGTTTGGAATCAGGAAATGTGATGCCTCCAGTTTTGTTCTTCTTCCTCAAGATTATTTTCACTATTTGGTGTCTCTTGTGGTTCTATATGAATATTAGGATTATTTTTTCTATTTTTTCTGTGAAAAATGCTATTGGGTTTTTAATAGGGATTGCATTGAATCTGCAGATTGCTTTGGACAGTATGACCATTTTAACAATACTAATTCTTCCAGTCCATGAACACACAATAGCTTTCCAGTTATTTGTGTTTTCAACTTCTTTCATCAATGTTTTACAGTTTTCAGTGCACAGATCTTTCACCTCCTTGGTTAAATCTTAAGTACATTGTTTTTGGTGCTGTTGTAAATGGGACTGTTTTCTTAATTTCTCTTTCTGATAGTTGTTAGTGTATAAAAATGCAACTGATTTTTGTATAGTGATTTTTGTATACTGCAACTTTACTGAATTCATTGATTAGTTTTAACCATTTTTTGGTAGTAACTTTAGGGTTTTCAATATATATTATGTTATCTGCAGAGACAGTTTTACTTCTTCCTTTCTGGTTTAGATGCCTTTTATTTCTTTTTCTTGCCTAATTTCTCTGGTTAGGACTTCCACAACTATGTTGAATAAAAGTGGCAAGACTGGGCATCCTTGTCTTATTCCTGATCTTAGAGGAAAAACTTTTAGCTTTTTTTTTTTTTTTTTTTGTGGTACGCGGGCCTCTCACTGTTGTGGCCTCTCCCGTTGCAGAGCACAGGCTCTGGAATGCAGGCTCAGTGGCCATGGCTCACGGGCCCAGACACTCTGCGGCATGTGGGATCTTCCCGGACCGGGGCACGAACCCGTGTCCCCCGTATCGGCAGGCGGACTCTCAACCACTGTGCCACCAGGAAAGCCCTAGCTTTTAACTGTTGAGTATAATGTTAGCTGTGGTCTGTCATATATGGCATTTATTATGTTGAAGTATGTTTCTTCTATACCAATTTTTTGAGAGTATTCATCATGAAAGGATGTTGAATTTTCAAATGCTTTTTCTGCAGCTACTGAGATGATCATATGATTTTTATCCTTTGTTTTGTTAATGAGGTGTATCACATTTATTGATTTGCATATGTTGAACCATCCTTGCATCTCAGGGATAAATCCTACTTGATTATGGTGTGTGATCCTTTTAATGTGCTGTTGAATTCACTTTGCTCATATTTTCTTGAGGATTTTTGCATCTGTGTTCACCGGGAATATTGCCCTGTTATTTTCTTTTCTTGTAGTGTCCTGGTCTGGCTTTGGTATGAGGGTGAATGAGTTTGGAAGTGTTCCCTCTTACTTTACTTTTTGGAAGAATTTGAGAAGAATTGCTATTAATTTTTCTTTCAATGCTTGGTGGAATTCACCAGTAAACTCATCTGGTCCTGGACTTTGCTTTGTTGAGAGGTTTTTGATTACTGGTTCAATCTCCTTGCTAATAATTGGTCTGTTCAGATTTTCTGTTTTTTCATGATTCAGACTTGGTAGATTTATGTTTCCAGGAATTTATCCATTTCTTCCATTTCTTCTGTCTAATTTTTTGGCATATAATTATTCATAGTTGTTTCTTATGATCCTTAGTATTTCTGTGTTGTAATGTCTCCTCTTTCATTTCTGCTTTTATTTATTTGAGTCTTCTCTCTTTTTTTAGTCTAGTTAGAGGTTTGTATATTTGTTTATCTTTCCAAAAACAACTCTTATTTTTCATTGATAGTCTCCCTTGTCTTTCTAGTCTCTATTTCATTTCTTTCCACTCTGGTCTTTGTTATTTCCTTCCTGTATCTTTTGGCTTAGTTTGTTCTTAGTGTAAAGTTCGGTTGTTTATTTCAGATTTTTCTTTTCTCTTAATGTTGACATTTATTGCTATAAACTTCTGTCTTAGAACTCCTTTTTTTGCATCCCATAAGCTTTGGTATGGTGTATTTCCATTTGTCTCATGATCTTTTTAAATTTCCCTTTTGATTTCTTCTTTCACCCACTGGTTGTTCTGGAGCCTGTTGTTTAATCTGCACATATTTATGAATTTTCCAGTTTTTCTTTTGTAATTGATTTCTACTTTCATACCATTGTGTTTGGAAAAGAACCTTGGTGTGATTTCAGTTGTCTTAAGTTTATTAAGACTTGCTTTAATTTCTATTTCCCTAGTGATTAATGATGTTAAGCATACTTTCATATATCTATTTACCATTCATTTATGTTCTTTGGTAAAATGTCTGTTCAAATCTTTTGTCCATTATGTTATTGGGTTGCTTGTTTGTTTTTTTCTTTTCTCTTTTTAAAAAAATTTTATTGAAGTATAGTTGATTTGCAGTATTGTGTTTAATTTTGGCTGTACAGCAAAGTGACTCAGTTATACATATATATATATATATATATATATATACTTTTTCATGTTCTTTTCCATCATGGTTTATCATAGGTATTTTATGTTTTCTTAACAGCTTTTACAATCTATTTTTTTCCAGTGGATAGAGAAGGTATTTGGCTTTTATTTTATTTATTTTTTTATACAGCAGGTTCTTATTAGTTATCCATTTTATACATATTAGTGTATATATGTCAGTTCCAATCTCCCAATTCATCCCACCACATTCCCCCCTTGGTGTCCATACATTTGTTCTCTACATCTGTGTCTCAATTTCTGCCCTGCAAACCAGTTCATCTGTACCATTTTTCTAGGTTCCACATATATGCATTAATAAACAATATTTGTTATTCTCTCTCTTTTTTTATTGAACTCAAATATTATTTTTGAATTTTATTTAATTTATTTTTTTATACAGCAGGTTCTTATTAGTTATCCATTTTATACACATCAGTGTATACATGTCAATCCCAATCTCCCAATTCATCACACCTCCACCCCCACCCGCCACTGCTTTCCCCCCTTGGTGTCCATACGTTTGTTCTCTACATCTGTGTCTCAATTTCTGCCCTGTAAACTGGTTCATCTATACCATTTTTCTACGTTCCACATATATGCATTAATATGTAATATTTGTTTTTCTCTTTCTGACTTACTTCACTCTGTATGACAGTCTCTAGATCCATCCACATGTCTACAAATGACC